ATATTTCCCGGGGGTAATGTCATGTGCTGTGAGACCGCTCGTACCATGTCAGGGAAAAATTGAGGTATCGCCGGAAAAAATGCTCCTTTCCAATCCAAAAGATACAGACTTCATCCTTAATTTTATAATGTCGTGCAGTGGCGTCGGTGACGCAACGGTTAGAGCGTTGGACTTGGAACCAATAGGTCCCGGGTTCGATACTCACCGTGGCCCGACGCTGTGCCCTTGGGAAAGGCACTTTACACGAGTTCCCTCCCTGCACGGTGGAGTGACGCCCACCGAGCCTCTTAGGCTAATCTGCACACTACGGATTTGGTGCGCCAATGTGTCAACATTAACACATTTGTCACATTTTTATAATGTCGAGACAAAGACAAATTAGTGGTGTTTCGTATTTGGTCGGTCGGTTCCAAAGTAAAAGGATTTTGGACATTCTAATTTTTTTTCTCTCTCTCCAAAATCAGGCGAAAATTAATGCACGCGCTGATGTTATCCATAAAAATTACTTCCTGTGGCCTTACATCCCGACGTTTCCTTCATTTCCCCTGCCGCGTTTTCCCAACGTTCCCTTGTAAACCTCAGAAGCCATTAAAAACAACACGGCCCCGAGAGGTACTGCCCACCCGGCCAATGGGGGAGCTCCCCTGGGGAGTGCATCAGAACGTAACCAATTCAGCGCGTCCACCTTTATGGCTTTTTGCGAGATGCCTGCTCTAGGGGAGGCAAGCCGTCTCATAGAGGGTTTGTTTTCTTTGCTCTTATCTCGGAAAAACAAGCTGATCTGTGAAATACCAAGGGAGAGGTTCTCTTATCCTGTAAATGTATAGAACAGTCTGCCTGAATAACCAAACACATTCATATATATGGTCAGACAGGAGTCTAAATCCTTCCTACCATAAAATTGCAACATGATGTAACCATGGTGACAAACGTCTGGTTCAGAACCACAGTCCACAAGCTGATCTCTGAAATACCAAGGTAAGTTATCTTATCCCGTAAATGTATAGAACAGTCTGCCTGAATACCCACGCATCTTGCGAAGGCACATTGTATCACTGGTGCGCCATCATGAATGTTATTACCTAGAATTGCCAATCAGAGTTGTAACTTGTACGTGATCCTAGTGGGGGGATACTAAACCTCTAATTCTCCCGGAAAATGTCAAGCAGAAATACCAAAGGATACCTCTAAACAGGTGACTACGCAAGGGAACGGCCGGCAAGATTAAAATAGCAATTACGCTACCCAGGTTAGAGGAAGGGGGAAAAAAGAGGAACTAGAAAGGTAACATTTGCAAAGCAAATGCATAATGTTTACCTTCGCCTATGGTCTGCTGTGTTAATTCTTACTCAAACACATTCATATATATGGTCAGACAGGAGTCTAAATCCCTCCTACTATGAAATTGCAACATGATGTAACCCAACACTAGTTACCATAGTGACAGACGCCTGGTTCAGGTCATTGACATTATTTGTTTGGAGAAGAGGAAGAAGAGGTAGAAGAAGAAACAAAGCAAAAACAATATGTTTTCCTTCGGTTAACATAAATATCTAAAGGCAGGGGTAAAGTAGAGAACAACGATTACACGAGAAACGATTCTAGCTGCAAAAACACTTTGCATGAACATATATTAAAGGGGTGGTTTCTTTAATTATGTCAAATCACCGCCTTGGCGTCTTGTCATAATTAATTCCCAGGATAATCATTACCGAGCTTTCCTTCCTTAGTGAAGTTGTGCCGGGAATAATTAACATGTCATGCTCGATGATATGGTGCGCACAATATGAGACTTATAGAAAGGGCTTTTTGTGTACGACAAAATTATTACCTTCGCCAAGAAGGTTATGTTTTCAGAGGCGTTCGTGTGTGTGTCTGTGTGTCTGTCTGTCTGTAAACACGATAACTCGAGAAGGCTTAAATGGATTGTCTTTATACTTGTTAGGTGGGTAGGTCTTGATGAGACCTCGAAATGATTAGATTTTGGACCCCCTGGCGGCTTGTTGTGGTACTGCAGCAGAACTTTTGCTGGTTTTGATATCTCATGATCTGGATGCACTAGGGTCACGAAATTTGAATGGTAGATAGCTCCTGTGCTGAACTGACGTAGAACATGAATTTTAACCTTTCTTGTTTTAATCGCTACTTGGTTCTATCTACATGAAAACCTCATATTCCCAAGTATAGATATAATAGTCAGTCTTAGACCGTAGTGTGGCATCCATGATAATGTAGTCTCAAGCGGACTAACTCCTAAGTACATGCCGTCTGTAGGACCGAATCATACCATTCAGATCACGCTTGATGAAATCAACGTCGGTCCATCGTTCCAAATGGATTTGTGTCCGCCAAACGCTCCAGATCCTACTTAACGCTCTGCTTCTCCTGCCCTGTACTTGCCCTGAATGCAGAACTCTCAAACTTTCTGTGATTTGCTTTTAACCTCTTTGACACTTCTTGCTGGCAATGTGTCGTTAACAGACATTTCGCTGGAAGGGAAACACAAAAACTTTCGTATTTAGCCCACAGCAAGTAAATTTTATGGATGCCATCCTCCGCAGACTCCAAATCTAATGCGATAGGGCGCAAAAAACAAGGCGGGCCAAAAAAACAAGGTTCCTACATTTTCAAATTTTCATATCATAAACTTTGTAAAACAAGAAATGATACATATATTGTGCTAAGTTTACTGGCAACTATTACAACATCCATTTGTCACTGAAAAATAAAAGTTTTCATTCAACAAAGGGTTTTGATTCAGTGAACACCACATATAAAAGGAATGAAATGCATCAGTAGAAGACAAGACAATAAATCATAGCCTTGGCTTGTCTTGTATCCTCTCTGTATATTTATCTGGCATCCACGTTCAGGCATGGCAACAGACATCTTTGCCCATTGTCGGCATGCTGACCACTTTCAGAGGGCAACAAAATTTCTTGTTTTTTCCCCCTAAATCAGACGAAAATTAATGCCCGCGCTGATGTCATCCATAAAAATTACTTGCAGTGGCCTAGCTTATTCAAAAGAAGAGGATGGAGTCATCGTGAGTCTGTTTGCACTGTGCGAACGTAAGGGCATTGTCCGATCTTCTCTCAACAGAAAGTTTGAGGAATCCATTTCCTTTGAAAGAGTTGCTCGTTTCCCTTCCTATCGACCCACAGGCTTACCGCCAAGAGATAAACATGAACTGAAGGTGTTTGATAGATGGAGAGGAAGGTCCGCTACAGCCGCGAGGTGGCTGATAGATGGAGTGTGTATAGATCGTGCGGCTCGGAGGTAACACGTACAATCAAAAAGGCGGGCGGGGAACAGTCCCGGGTCGCTTACGGGAGGGGGTGTTCTTCCCCCCGAGGTGACGAGATTGATGGCACGGAACCACCTAAAGTCTCCGCGGAATAACAAGGACTGAAGATTCCCTCCTTATATCCGCTGTAAAAAAAGTGTATCACTACCTGGGGCCTATTTAAGCGACAATCTACAGGCAGGTAGAGTCATAAAATAGAATGTAAAGACAGGAGATTGGGAGAAATAGACGCTAAGGATGAAGACGTGCCTATGGTGTTTTATGGCTGTGTACATATTGCGAACTAGTTTATTGGCAATGCTGAGAAATGTGACAGGACTACAAGACAACTATCTTAGCTGGGATGGTTACGATTGTTTATGGCTAGAAGAGAAATAGTAAAAAAAAAATCGCGATTAACCAGTTGTTTTACGAGGATCCCCTGATAGTTATCAGAAAGAACACAGCTTGCTGTCATATTGGGCCCACATTTAAACAAGAAAGAAAGAAAGAAAGAAAGAAAGAAAGAAAGAGTGGCTCAATATTCTAGTGTTCGTGAAATCATTATCATCTAAACAGAAATAGCGTCCTTCCATAAAAAAAAGTGTTCATGAAGAACGTTTCATAAAGACCATTTTGTTTCACTGTTTGAATCGACAGACAGTTGGTCATGAAATAATTATCATCTTAACAGAAATAATGCCCTTCCATAAAAAAGTATTTATCACATCTTATCCATAATGTTTCATAGAGACCATTTTGTTTGACCGTTTGAATCGGCAGACAGTTGTTCATGAAATCATTATCATCTAAACAGAAATATTGTCCTTCCATAAAAGTACTCGCCAAGCCTTATCTCTAACGTTTCATACAGACCATTTTGTTTGACCGTTTGAATTGGAAGACGGTGGTTATCTCATTGTTTCTTAATGCAATATCCTACCGCATTTCCAGCGGCTTAGAGATATATCGGTCACATTTCCTCCGTGTTAAATGCGCTGTCTGTCCTTGAACAAATGCAATTTCCGATAATGACTTAGGTACGTGATTGCCTGGGGACGGCAATTTGTTCTATTGCTACTGTTTTATTGAGTAGTCGGAATAGAAAATTACAATGAAAGATTTAAAGTGCGCGGTGGAAGCATTTCAGAACTTGGCATTGTCCGTGAAAAGCCATTGTGGTGTCTGTTTTTCACCATTTGATACTGGTTCTGAAATGAGGAGCACGCGTTGTTTCTTCATCAAATAGATATGAGTGCCACAGAGAACGCCAAGGGCCTCGTAATGTGTTACCAATACAATATAACCGCCGCGGCGACCCTGCCATTAAATTACATAGCGAAATATGCTTAGTGGTCACCACAGTATATTACACGTATTGGCATACGCACCAGGCACACAGACAGGCACACGCACGCACACACACAACACACAGGCACACACAGAGGAGAGAGAGAGAGAGAGAGAGAGAGAAATATACACGTAGGAAACGCAGACCTGTCCTTGGTGCTGAACGCCATCCACACATAGATAACTGTCACTCGAACGCAAACACCAGTACCCAACCAACAGTAACACGGTGGCAAAGACATCAAATGTCTGATGGTATCTGAGGCCGGACAATACTGGCATTGGACGGTCCAATCTATGTTGTCAGTCCCTTCCATAGTTAGACTATGGTGTGGTTCTAAGACACGAACAAGAAGACACGTACCTATGATAGGGCAGACCCTCCACAGTCCGGAGTGCACCTCCACACGGACGTCCACGCGGCGCCCGTCCGTCTTGTTGGACAGCATGACGTACTCTGCCGTGTAGAGCCAGTAGTCCGTCCCGACCGCCACCACCAGGAAGCCGAGGGACAGGGACGAGCACAGGCACGTCAGGATCATCAGCGGCCTCTTCCCACACGTCACCATCCTCCTGGCCTTCAGGAACATCTCCGGGGGAACAGAACGGGAGGCGGCCGGCCCAGCCTGCCCAGGTCTCTGTGGATCGGGAATGACCGCTCAGGCATCCCTGCCTGCGACCATTTGGAGAATAAAACGTTCTGGCAGCAGCGTTTAAACACCTACACTTCAAGCTAGGAACTAGTTACAACTGTTCATCGATGGTTATGAGAAATGTTCTTTACAGATCCTGCCTCAGCGCCACGGTCCGATCTTGTTGGAGTCACACGTACAACTGTTGTGCTCACCTTCGGTCGTCACACCTACCAATTCCGCAATCAATAGGAACCCGCCTCCACAGCTTGGGTCTGGACTCCTGCCAGGGCGCGATCGTTTTCGAGTGAATTACCATCTCAGTACCGCATCTCTGACAACCCGACTCATCCTGGCAGAAGGAACGTGCCTGTCTTATTTGTGTGATCGAACCTGTGAGGCCTTTTCCTTCGGAAGCGGCGTGGCTGCCCGTAATGCGTTATAATTACCTCGCCGCTGAGGAAACATCAGCAGAACGCATCGGGAGTCCCGCAATCCTGGGGGAGGGGATGAGATGGAATGGTCTAATCACCGCGCTCATTGGTGAGAAGACTCTGCAATTACATCGGGCGTACGTTAGGACTGAGTGTAAGGGGAGAGAGTTGTGGGGCATACCACCGCTGTATCTAGTTGGAGGGGCGTACGGCAAAAAATACCAGAAAACCGCTTAAATCTAGAAGAAAACGAGTCCCTCACTCACATATGTCAGAACCTCAAGGACAACGCAGTCTTATCTGGTCGAACAGACGCGGCAATCTGAGCAAGATGATTCCGTTTGCAACATCTAGCACGTACAGTCAAGGCTTACCTCAGTCAACCACACTCTACACATGATACAGCTAGATACATATAGATTAGATACTGTCATCTTTACGATACACTGACAAGTGTCTAAGCGATGAAAGATTGGAGATTTGTAGTCTAAGATATACACTTATGGTTGCTCTTTGTCTTTAGATTTACACCGCATTCCCCCCGTCATCTATCCACTGCTCTTTATTCTCCGGGTTTCATCGTCATATAAAACGGCAGTAATTGGTTGAGGCTTCCCCGTGGATTTTGCGATGAACGTCAGGAATAGAGATGAGGTTTGGGTCTATAAAACAGGCATCGCGATGACGTGTCTGTGCGAGTATGTAGTCTTCTTCGTTGGTTATTAGGCCGGACCAAGTAATTTCTATGGATGACGTCCACGCGCGCATTGGTTTTGGCCTGTTCCTAGAAAAAAATTCCGCTTCCTGTAACCATGACCAAAGAGTCATGACAGTGCTGCAAATTGCTAGATTGGAAAATGTGATGAAAAGAAAGAAACAAGGCAGGACGACAACTGCTGTTCCACTGACTTTATCGCTGTTTTCATGAGGAATAAATGTTGGTTGTTACACTTTGTTTTCTCATTCAATTTGTGCCCTAACAAGTTTCGTCTCTTAGTTTATTTCAGATCTAGGCATCTTGTTTTGTTTTCGCGCTATCCCATAGATTTAGGATCTCCAGTGGACGTCATCCATTAAACCTACTTGGTGTGGCCTCACCAAAAGAACTAGTGGAAGAAGAAGTTGAGACAAGGTTGCACTCTTCTATCCGACTAGCTCCTCTGGCAATTCATTCACGCAATTTTACCAATTTCTGCTACGTTTTCGTAACCAAAGTATCTGGTGCAAACTGGTTAGTATGTGTGGTTACGGCTACGTTCGGTTGCCGAATTCAGACGTGGCAACCTATATAGCCCTACCGATAATTACTTCTGAAGCTGCCTGAATTAGCCAGCCAAAGATTAGCTAATATCAAACGTCCATTACAGCCACATAGGGGATGCTGAGATCAGAAATGACTTAGTTGTCGACGTCGATAAAGCCCTTTTCAATCATATTACGGAAATCCGGCAAAGATCTTTTAGCCTTTTCATTAGATTCTATTGATCCATCCCACATTAAGGAAGTCGCTACATGTACATCCCCCAGACTAATTCTGCCCGTTATCGAAAATTCAATAGCTCAATCTTAGGTCTCATTTTGATCAAATACATTACACGTCACCCGGAGGCCTTCTTAAAATTTCCATAGGCATCTCGTCTATATTATCCTCTATATGTGCATAACATACGTACATATGGCCATCCTTGCGTATCCACCCTAAGGCCACAGCAAGTAATTTTTATGGATGACAGCGCGCGCATTAGTTTTCGCCTTCTGACAGTGGTCAACATGCGGAAAATGGGCAAAAATGTCTGTTGCCATGCCGGAAGGTGGATGGCAGATAACTATGAAAAGAAGAGACAAGAAAAGGCTTTGATTTAATGTTTTGTTTCTTACTTTGATGCAGTGATATGTGATGCTGGCTGTGCATATGTGATGTTCCCACTGAATCAAAACCATTTGTACAATGATTGAGTCAAAATTTTAAAATGTAGGAACCTTGTTTTTTTTCGGCCCGCTCGCATTAGATTTGGAGTCTGCGGAGGATGTCATCCATAAAATTTAGATGCTGTGGCCTAACTGGGGTACATGTTTTACACCTTTTAGTATTCGACTGGTGCTGCAAAGAGAAGGGTCTGAATCTATTCTAAGATTTTTAGTTTAAAGGTTAAAGTCTTTAAGGTTCTAATTAGGGCACTTAGCCTTCTTCCTTAATGACAAAGAAGGAACTGCACATTGAGTGTTCCCGTAATGATTTCAAGAGTTCCGTGACCTCATACCTTCTCGGCAAGGGTAAGAAGTGATGACGTAGGGCCAAGTAAATCCCTTGAGTGCAACACGTGACGGCCTCTGCAAATGTGCGGAAATTGATCTAATTAAAGCTGACATTTTCTGATTGGACGAAGAGAAATGGATGACGGACAAGAAACTAGAGTAATTATGCCACTTATTCCCGTCACTCATTCTTTCCTAGAAGTATCGCAGAGTGGAACTCGCTGTCACCTAGTACAGTAGGGGTATTATCATTAGTTGGCTTTAAACACTGTAAAGAGTTAGAAGTTCAAGGTTTAGGTGTACCAAGTCGATCGGTGTAAGATAGCCAGCTGCCGCCGTGCCGCGTGCCTGCAAAGCTGGTGTGTTACGCCGAAGGGCGGTTATACCGGCTATACAGATACAGATACAGAAGTATATTTGGGAGGTGTTCAATGATGACAAAACGTACGTATATGGATCGATTTGTATTCCGTACGCTTCATAAAGAGGGAGAGGTTTGACATTAACTGTTCGCAATGTTTGCAATGATTATCTAATAATGTCTATTTCATCCTCTTAATACAAAAATTGATAATGCTTATCATGACATTAAAATGTCAATACAGGGGTTACGAGAGAATAATTGTTAATACTAGTACTGCTATTTATCAATCGTATCATCTATTTGTATTTTGCCCATTCAAGTATATGCTCATTCATTCATCCATCCATCCGTATCCATCCATGCAATATCCATCCATCCATCCGTCCCATATCCTTCCATCTTTGCAGTAGCTAGAGCTCATTTAATCCTCTATTAAAAAAAGCTGTAATACTAAACGTGACCCATAGATTCAGTATTTTGTCTCTGTGCCACACACGCACCTGGTGCGCACATTCCCGTAAACGACTTTTTCCTGGAACGTTAGGATCCTAATAATAAACAGAACCCCTAACCTCAAACCATCATGCGCATAACTAAAACAAATCAGAGCAGAACCATCGATCCGAGAAAATGGTGTCCCGTGCTCCGTACAGACGGCACCAAGACGTACGGCCAAATAAGGACTAGACTCTCCCTGAGGCCATAGCAAGTAAATTGTATGGATGACATCAGCGCGCGCATTAATTTTCGCCTGATTTGGGCGGAAAAAAACACTGAAATTTAGTTGCCCTCTATTTTTCGCCTGATTTTTTAAAAGAAAAATCCTCTAACAGTGGTCAACATGCTGAAAATTTTTTTTTAAAGTAAGAAATTTTGTTCCCTTCTGACAGTGGTCAACATGCCGAAAATGTGGGCAAAGATGTCTGTTGCCATGCCTTAACGTGAATGGCAGATAACTATGAAGAGAGGGGACAAGATATGGCTCTGATTTATTGTTTTGTCTTTTACGTTGATGCATAACACATGCATTTCATTCCTTTTATAATTTGATGGTGGCTGTGTATATGTGACGTTCCCACTGAATCACAACTATTTGTACCATGACTGAAAAGTTTTATTTTTCAAAGTTGTTTCAATGAGAAATGGGTGTTGTAATAGTTGGCAGTAAACTTAGCACAATATAGGTATCATTTATGATGTCAAAATTTGAAAATGAAGGAATCTTTTTTTTGGCCCACCTTGTTTTGTTTTCGCTCTATCGCATTAGATTTGGAGTCTGCGGAGGATGTCATCCATAAAATCTAGTTGCTGTGGCCTGATTTACTGGTACGGTACTCCACTGCCGTTCTAAATATCGCAATGTTTTTGTCACACGAATGATGCTGGCATGGAAGTTCAAGGACAGAAACTCAATCAATAGGAAACACTGTGCCGTACGAAAGGGAATAAGAATTCCAATTAATTCAGTCTGAATTGGTCTGGGCGTCGTAAAAGTGGCGCGTCGTGCCTGAAAAGATTCTAGCCGTACAGAGATAGGATAGAGAAATAAAGAGAACAAATAGACGTGTATTAAGAAACATATACCAGGAGGCCCATATTTGACCTTGACCTTTGTCTTCCTAAGACCTACCAAGGTACCAAATATCATCACAATCCATAAAGGCGTTCTGAAGTTATTGTGCGGAAACACAAACACACAGACACACACACACACACACACACACACACACACACAGACGCGCCAAAAACAATACCTCCATTTTTCATGGAGGTAATAAATGTGTACGATAATGTTATCTATAGAGAACGAAGAGGAGAAATGGAATTCTATTAGTAATGTATAGCAGCCAAACTATGTAATTATGTTTCCAAATGTTTCAAAAAGAGATAAGAAAGGGCAACTAACAGTAGATGATAGGTAGTATATAGTATTGTTATGATGTATAAATTCCTAGCAATTAGCATTAGAATATAGCGTCCCATTATGCAATACTCATGTTTTGCATACTGCATGTCCTCTTGTGCATTTAGCCCATCTGGGCAAGAACATGCAATAAAGATTCATATCATATTAGTAAACATAACAATCAATAATTGAGTACGATAATGTTATCATTAAAGTGATTGATCCCAGTGAAGTTCTCCGCCGATTGTCTATGTATAAACAGAGACTTACAGACATACTTCGTCCTTGGTGCTGAAATGGGGGTCCCCAAGCGAGACATCTGATTCTGTATCTGTATCTGTATAGCCGGTATAACCGCCTTTCGGCGTAACACACCAGCTTCGCAGGCACGCGGCGCGGCGGCAGCTGGCTATATTACACCGATCGACCTGTTACACCTAGTTTTTGAACACCTCAATCCTTGGTTGATAACTCTGGTACTTGAAGGCCTGGCTATTTCTTGTTCTCTTCTGGGCTGGTAT